GCGCTTCCGATTATGAAATTATTTTCTTTCTGCATGGTTTTATATAGAAAGGAGCGTCGATTAAAATTTTCGTAATTTTCAACCCAGGGGTGCACAACTATTTTTATTTAAGAAGCCACCAGTCAATAAAATTTCTAAGCACTTAGCTAATTTCTATAGAAAATAAAACATTTAAATTTATTAGTCGACATATTCCATTAAAGCTACGTTTGTCTGCTTGCTGAGCAAGTTGGGGATAGACTCCACTGAGGCTCAGTTAAATTCATATCGTGTTTGTCGAATAAATATCTACAAGTAATCAGAGGCATTTATATCCCATCTTTATCGGAATCTAATTGTACTGTGGCGCCTGCTCTGGGTAGTTCATCTGCTTCATAGTTACTGGGAATATTATTACGTCCTGGAACACATTGCAAGTTTATGGTGAAATAGGATGTTAGAGTCAATAGAAATCAAGGCAATATTTCGCTAACTTTGACGAAACCCTAAGAGACTTTAGTCATTTTAAAGCCCCTGGGCTATCTATATACAGTCAAACCTGAGTAAGAGAGAAAACTCTATAAGTCCGAATAATTCTCAGCTCCGGAACTTTGACCTCTCAAAAGCCTCTATGAGTGAGAAACAAAAGCCTCCATAAATGACAGTCATCTTTCCCACTCTGACCACTATAATTTGTATATATTTCTTTACCATTATTGGCCACAATACCAGTAAACGTCATAATCGAGCTTACAACTACTGTGTAAAGCCAATCAGTTAGGTGTGGCGTTAGTCTCCATTTGGGTCTCGCCATCCCTTCACAATTGTAAAGTGCTGTAGCTGCTTTCTTAAACCTAGTCTCTATATTTGGTTTCCATTATAGTAGGTTTCTGTGTAAAATTAGTCTCTAGTAGCTTGCTTGCTCTCCTATTGACAGCCTGGTACCTTATATTAACGGTGACATGTATGTAGTTCTGTGTTTTCTAGTGAGCTCTGTTTTTCTAACATAAAGGTTTAGTTCGCACGAAAAGACCCATTGATCAATACCGTTAAATATTTTTGCATAAGGTTAGCGAGGGATCCAATGGAAGTTATTTACTTTAACATACATGTCTTTCCTCTCTTCTTTAATGCAATATGTCTGTATATTTTTTTTATTTGACGTATGAGACAATTTTGAATAATTATCTTTTTTATATCATGCGATTTTTTTTTAATTACTGTATTATTATTTGTAAATACTTAAAAATTGTATTTAAAATTAAAAATTATCAGACTTTCTATACCTGATTCGTGGTATTAGAGGGAAGAAGCAAGAGATTTTTTAATTATTAAACATTTGTAAGGCTCAAGCAATCCACTTAAAGTTCTCTTACATACTTCATATTAAATTTTCAGAGGTTTTAACAAGGTAAAAGTTTTTAGGGAAATTTATTAATTTTTTATATTTTTTTATACATAACCAAACTAAATATCTACACAAACAATTTAAGCAATTTCATGCGAACCAATTAATTAAAATGAAACCATGAGCTACTATGAATAAAAAAAAAAACATGCAGTAAAGCCCAAGTGCGAGAGAAAAGGTATTGCAAGCTACAACACAAATTGCGAAGCAGACTAAAAGCCACCAAATCGATTGATACATTGACCGCAGACATGGAAGGAAGTCAGGAAACCATGAATTTTGATTTACCGAAAGCGAAAAAGGAGCCAAAAAAATATGAAATGGCAGCAGTCTGCCCGAATCTAAACACCAATAGCGGCAGCAAGGTGACAAACCGCGACTGAAACAATAACAACAAAAATGGGCGCACTAATTCTAACGGATATACACAGTTGGTGTCACTGACACCACAGCCAGCGCCTGGCAGACCATTAAACGGAACGCTGTCGGAGCTGACGAAGAATAAAACATTACCGACACCCTGTATGCATGTGCAAATAGATGTCTGAGTGTGTGGTATAGTGTGGTATATATATGGACACAGTGCAAAAGGCGAGCAAACGAAAAACACCAAAAATGGAGTATGCTGTTTAATATCTTGTGGCATGTTGCACGAACTCCATATGAGTATGCAAAATAGCGCAGACAAATGCCTGTACACGAGTGTGTGTGTGTGGCAGCGCGTCAAAAAAAACCTTTGCATGAGCAACAAAAGCGAAGTATGTTAACACCGTTAAATGTGTGGCGCGCAAAAAATCGTACAGCAGCAGCGACGTAAAAATTGCTGGCTACAAAGAGCGCAACAAAACCAGCGAACCAGCAACCTGCTCGGTCAGCGCTCCACTTTAACCCCGCTGCAGCCTCGCGCCAATCATCGAGCGTAAACCCTTATGCTTTTGGCCAGAAGTCAACCAACAGCTGCGGCATTTTTAAGTAATTTTATCGGTCGCCGCGCTTACCTCGCGCACAGCGCACCCCTCCACCGACGCTGCAAATCAGCTGTGTCACGTTGTTTTTGCGCATTTACCGTTTCGTTGTCCAACACTTTATGCCACATCTCTCCTTTTATTCTGCATGTTTCCACTCTTTTTCTTTTTTTTTTTTGTAACGCTCCGGTGCGCCGCAGTTTTGCTGGGAAAATGTACTCGCGCATATTGAGCGTTGGTTGGGGTGCATCGTTGGAAATCGTCGTGTTAAACAAGGCTATCGTCATGTTGTGATTCCATCCATAAAAGCATTTAACATGGCCAGTTTCGGTGACGCAGCCAAATAACCAGTCTACGTGGCACACGCACACATACTTTCATATAAGTGGCATATTTACATAGTCCTTTGTGGCACGAAAGGTTGCGAGAAAGCGGAAAAAAGTCGCAAAAATGTGCGAACAATGGTTGTGGTTCTTTGGCAGCGACTACACAAATAATTGGAGTAATATTTGTAACTTGTAAACGAAGCTGCTGGCTTCTGGCATTTATGTACTCGCCCATATGTTGGGTCCTTCGGTGTACGCCTTGGACATTGTCATTTGCCTGGCTGCCAACCGAAACAGAAAAAGGTGTAGTAGGGTTCTATGGCGGTAGCATAGCTTGATTTTGAATTATTTAACAAGACTGTGATTATACCTCACTACTGCAATAACAAAAAATGTTTGCATTTTTTTTTTATATGAAGAAAGTGACAGAAAAATCGATCGAAGCGCAAGCAAATAAAAATATAAATTTTGAGTATCAATTTCATATATTATTTGAAATATGTAGCTTCGTCTATTATACCGTTATTTGTTTTAACTTTTTACTCGTATACTTGTAGAATTCTTCTCAACAAGCTGCTGTATCGGTTTTAATCAGATTCGTGTTTGAACTACCAGATAGCGCTCCAGTCAAAATAATTGTAAAAATTTGCATTCACTAAATGAATTCGGAACAAGATTTTATATTTGTATCGTAAATATAGGAGAGGTCCAATTTTCGACCACTTATTGCTAAAATTGCTGTCAGCGGTGTTAAATCGCAAGATTTTGGAGGCCACTCCATAGGCCTACGACTCGAGATAATCGCTTCCTTCAACAAACTTATCTTGTTAGAACTAAAGGTTGTCCACATCAACAACCACCAATTCAGGCACGAAAAAGTTATTGATAATGCTTTATAGCGTTCCCCATTGACTGTAACACTTCAGCTTCATTTTTGAAGAAATATGAACCAATGATTCCCACTGCCCATAGAGCAAACCAAACAGTGACTTTTTGAGGATGTAACGGTGTCTCAACAATGGCTTGTTAACTATCATCACTGCTTTGTTTATGAATGTATCCATGCAGGCAAAAGTGTGCTTCAATACTGAATACAATTTTTTTGTGAAAATCATGATTGGTGGCTATCTCTTATTAAGCCCATTCCCCAAACGTGCGACGCGCTTGGTAGTCGCTCATCTTCACGAGTTGGATTTTGTAAGCCTGCAAACCAAGATTCATTCACAAAGTGAATAGGCACAGCTGTAATTGTTTCGCGTCATAGCGGTTGGACTCACTATACGACATCTCTGAGGATGCGCATTATACACTAGAGTAAAAGTGTTCCGTATCCGATCCACGGATGCTCGAAATACTGACTCTGCTCGGCCATTATTTTGGTAAACACGATTTGCAAACGTTCTTCCGGACTAAGTCTGTTCATTATGAAATGAATGAAATGAAATAAAGTAACAGCTATCAAAAATACCAATTCAAAAAGAGTATTGCCTCATTGAAAAACACACGTTTAAAAGAACACCTATTATAGTGAGAGTTTCAACAGCTGGGCTCTCAACAGTACTAAAGATTAAAAAAGGTACCTAAGAGTTATAGTTATACCCAGAGTTTATAGGGAATAGCATTGTACATTTTTTTTTAAAGCTAGAAATCTTATTTGTCACCTGGAACGTCCTGAATTTTTCTCTTCAGCTACAGCGTGTCGTCTCCAAATATTGGCCGGTCCATTCCATTTACGGCGACGGATTTCAATGCGGATAGGTATAGGAATGGCATTACTGACTAAAAGGACACGTATAAGAATACGCCCGACTATTTTGGTATACTGAACGTTCGATATAATATTGACCCAAATTTTACGTGCTTTAAACCTGAAGCTACACACAATGTTGGATGTTAAATCTTAAATAATTATTTGTCAGTTACCCCTTTAAGACCTTGAAGAAAGGCTTTGGAATAAGGCTGTTAGTTCTTGAGGTCAGTCAAACTAACAAGCCGACGGTCATAGTTTTAATACCAATCTCTTATATTTACCCTAAGTTATAAATCAGCTGACTTGCAATTTGAACACACGTTGTTCATAAGATATCGGTGTCAAAAGAAGGTGCAGATTACTATAATAGGAAATCTGAAAGATCCGTACTAGTTTTGAACTACTGAGTTATTTAATAATCCTCTACAAAAGATATATAGATATATATTCAGTTTCGAACTGTCAAGATAGGGTTCGCCAAAAACTTGATGTTAGACTATACCTTATATTTATGAATCTTAAATTTGAAAGTAATTATCTAACATCAGCTTTTCTATCTTCCATCTTTTCAGAGAGCCACTTATATAACTGTAGCAACTATACCAATTACTACTCTAACTAACTTTTCCATTGTCGCCGTGCTACAAAGAAAAATTTGCAAAAATTGTTCGCCTCAAACAAGTCGCCTGCGGCCCCAACCACTACAGAATGCATCTCACCACAACGACCAACACCGTCGTCGCCAACAATGCGGGCGCGACACAGAATAGCAGCAACAATACAAACAATTCCAGTTCAAATAATAACGGCGGTAGCAACAATAACAATGCTACAAATGGCAACAACAACAATTCGAATGAACAAAACACACCGCCAACGGCAGCTCAACTGCTAAATGAAGCCTACACAAAGATGACCTCGGACATATTGGCGGAGCGGACATTAGGCGATTTCCTCACCGAACATCCGGGCGAGCTGATACGCACCAGCAGTCCGCTGTTCGTGTGTACCGTACTGCCGCCGCATTGGCGTTCCAACAAGACGCTGCCTGTCGCCTTCAAAGTTGTCTCGCTGGGCGATATCATGGACGGCACTATGGTGACGGTGCGCGCCGGTAATGATGAGAACTACTGTGCCGAATTGCGGAATTGTACGGCCGTTATGAAGAATCAAGTGGCGAAGTTCAATGATTTGAGATTCGTCGGACGGAGTGGTAGAGGTGAGTATGCAAGTGTTTCTATGTTATTGCTCTCTTTTTGGGGAAAATTATGTTTGGAAAATCTTTTGGCGCACAAGATGAGTGGAAATTCTTGGAATTTACAAACAAGTCAGATTTATTATCCATAATATACCAAAAGGCTATAATGCTGTTGTTTAAATTCGGTTGCTCGAACTGATCAGGCACTGGATCTCCACAATTGGGCTTTGAAGTCAATCAATCAATCTATAATCATACAAATATTATGATTTTTGTTCACCTTAGAGCAGACACTTAAAATCAACAGGCTTTTGTTGAGTTGAAGTCAATCCCTTTAACTATTCATGATTACCTAGTGGACTATCCACACGCTAGATTCAGAACCGAAGAGAAGTTATTCATTGTATGAGAGATTAATTTCAAAACGACATCTTGCAGAGATATTTTGGTCGAAAGTGCATGGAAGTGCAGTTGTCGCATAGAGACCTATTCTAGGTATAAGAGAATTTCGAAGAAGAGATTATAAATTATTATCTGCACAGTGAGGGACTGTCACTGTAAATCGTTAAAGCTATTTAGAAGGTTAAATCTAGATCTCGAAATCATCATAAGAAATAAGTATTATATTCAACCCTATCTATGTGTGAATCAGAAATAGCTTTTAGCAGATCAAAACATATGCTGAAGTCTTCATCGGATATTTTACTCTTTAAAAAGTGAGATACTTTGTAGTGAACGTATACTTTATGACTTTAAAAAACAATTTCTAAAAATATGGATCTCAATATTGAACAACTGCACATCTTTTGAGATCAATAATTGGAATTCTTCGACCCTCGTTTTTAGGTTATGATGTTTTCCGATAAACAGAGCGTTCTAGAAGTTTTAAGACATCCTGAGTAAGATGGCATATATAAGAAACTTTTTATAGCAAAAATTATCTGGGAGCTTTCATCAAAAACTTACAATGGAAGTCCCTTTAGGCATACTGTGCACAACTTTAGATAAAATTCAGCTCCGTCTGTATGATGTTCTCTTTCTGCGATACCTTTTTCTAGAAACGCTTCCGTCCGTACGAGCAGTTTTGGTTCGCTTAGTCTCTCATAGTTGGTACTGTCTCTCACGCTTTTTATAGAATATATGGCTGTCGGGAATCTATGTGTATCATGGCGACGAGAGCTGAATACTAAAGCAAATAATATCGTATATCAAACGCTGACGTAGTTGAGTTGAGGATAAGAATATGCCGAACTAGATCAGCAAAATATGAGCTGTACTATATACTGTAGCTTACTTGGACTTATTAGATAATTCTAAGAAGATGATATCTAGACTTATTCCTTTTTTTAATATCTATTCACCCAAAAATTATCAATTTTAAAGCACGATCAAGTTCCAAATTGGTCGAACCATATGCTAAATTTGCTCTTATATATAACACTATATTTCATTTTGCCTCTCGAACCCAAGAGAAAAAATTCCAAAAACGCACTAACGGCATTTTTTTAATTCACAAAAACTTTAGTTGAAATTTTTTCTCAATTACACCCTCAATTAAGAGTTAATATTTGTTTGAATGCCGGCATAATTGAGTGGATTGTTCTGGCCGAACAATGAAACAATTGCAAAACACCAACAAAAGCAAAAAAGAGCCGTAGAGAAAAAATAATAAAAAAATTACTAAAACAACGAAAATTCGCAACAATCAAAATGGCAACATCAGCAGTAATGTCTTTTAGCAGCTGACAATGCAACACTACACACTAACACACACACACACACGCACATACGCTCAAGCGAAGAAGGGCACGTGAAGTGCCAACATTTTGTTAACCAAAGTGAGCCTTTTAGTAGCAACATTTGCCAAACACAAGCACACAAACTCTTCTGGATGCCGCCTGCAATGAAAACTCGCTTTTGTTGTATGACACACACTTCCCAGTTGTTTTTGTTGTTGTTGCCGCTATTATATTGCAACACTTGGAATTTGATTGTTGTTGAATCAAACTTAAAGTGGCGAAATTGTTGGCAGCATAAAAGAGAGCTGCTGTCAGCCGTCGTCGCCGCCGCCGCCACCGCCGAGAGTAGCGGTTTCTCGCTTAAAAAGCCGGCTCACACCCCTCAGCGACTCCGCACACGCCTCACATCGCTTGAAGAGCTAAAGTTGTCCACTCGACGGCCGACGCACGTTGAACAACTGCCGTTTCACAAAAGCACAAGGTTTTAGTCCAAAATGCGCCCCTTGCTTTTCTGACCGGCGTTGCCACGTTTTTATTTTTTTTTATTTTATTTTATTTTTTTTTTTGTTTTTGCCGACAAGTAATGCAATTTCGTCAGCAGCAAAAAACAATTGAAAATATTTCGTAACAAAGCACTCCACGTCGAGTGTCCACACTTTGTGAAAGCAACAGCAGCAACAACAACAACAACAGCGAAAACAACCGAAATGTGAGTAAATTAAAAAAGTGCAAAACTTTCGCTTTGCCAGCGTGCAAATGAAAATGAAAAGGCAAAAGTTTTGCGTGAAAAGTAAGCAAAAACAACACCAACAACAAGAGAAACGTGCAACAAAATCACCGCTAAAAAAGCTGTTGAAACCAATTTGCCCACTGGCTGTGGAAGTCCGTTGCACAGGCGTCTAAATTTGTTGTGTATTTATTTCGCAGCAATTGAAACTTTGCTACAATTTTTACCGTACTTTTTTCTTACTCTTTCCTAAACCCCTACATCGTTTCATTTCGCCCTTCAGCTGTCGCTTTGTTGCCTCTAATGGCAGCCGAACTAAACCGCTTGTTAAGCGGAAAAGTGTCAGCACGCGGTCAGCTTCATTTGGCTGCCGTTTTTTGCATTGCCACTCCCGCTCTAGTCTAACTGTAGTTCACTTCGTGTTCTTGCAACAGCAAAAAGTGTTTAAAAAACTGGTTTTAAAGTGGCAAATTAATTTACATCATTAATAGTGCGTTTTTATTAATACAAAAATGCGACTTTTTTGTGTCTTTACCGTTAACATGTCTTTATCAAGCTAAAAAAATTTGAATTATTTTGAATTTAGTGTCATATATTGTTAATGTAGCCATTTCCTTGGATTCAATTACCTTATTCTCATATATTTTATATACATACTCGTATGTATATTAGGGTGGGTAAAAAAAAAGAGTACTTTTTTTCGCTTGGTATTCTGAAAAATAGGTTCATAGACACCTCTACGAAAATCTCTTTAAGTTTGATCTCTTAACTGTAACGGTAATGTTTTCCGTCTTACAGTTTTCTATTTTATTCTATTTAAAAGGTAGAAAAATTCATATTTCATTTTCAATTACTTAAAATAATATCTCGTTTAATAGATCTTGTAGGAAATTGATGCTCTACAAAATAGGATCTCACAATTTTTTCGTAAACTTTAACGTTTAAAAAATATTAACGGTTCAAATTTGATCAGGACGGCTTAGAAGCACATGCTTTTCAAGATGATCCTTTGACTCTCCGAACGAAGCTCTTGGAGACATTCAAATCGCTCCTTCAATTTCAATAAAATTCGATTTGGTTTTTGTTCAAGTTTATTGCGCTATAAGCCACGTATTCACAAAACCATCTCTTGACAGGGTTATTCAGAAAATAATTTTTGAGATAAGCTCTTTTTCAGTAATTACGTTTATTCATTATTTTCACCCTTCAAGTAGTTGTCTCAGGACAACCAAGTGCCACTTGAAACCTCGGAATGGTGAACATACGAGAAAAATGCCGTAAAACACTTTTTATTTTAATAAATGTTTACATGCTTTTCTCGGTTCGAGAGTTTGAGCATACGTGCATCTATCATATTTCAATATATACACTCCGAAATGAACTTATGGTATTCATCTGAAATTGGCAGTTTGTTCAGAAATATATTAATGTTGTGCGATTTGTACTAAAATTTGGAAGGTAACGAAAAGAACAAACAACCAATTGGTATACTTTAATAGGGAGACAGAGAAGGAGAGAGTCCATTTTTACAAGATTCTCTAGAGGTAAATTTTTCATCTGTTAATTCATTTGCCATAGACAGTAACATATAGTATGGTGGTGAATGGATAAAAACCAACCAACAAACTCCGGGTGTTTCTGGCGACTCACTGTCTTTGTGTGTGGAACACAACACCTCTTCTAGTGACAAAAGCTGGCTGCTTCTGCGCGATCGGTTCCTTCAGACGATCCACAATTGGAGGACAGTATGGGTCCGAATTAAGTGGTTGGACGTAGAATAGCAGCTCATAAGAGCAAGCCTCTCCAAATCGTCAATCGTGGCTTTGACATCGTTTTTGCCTGCTCACCGCGATTCAAACAAGACCGTTTTCCCTCGACGTTAACGTAGGAGAACTACTTTTCATCGGCGGTAACCAGACGCGTCAGAATTGTATGGATTTTTGATGATTCAGCACCGATTTCCATTTGTAAATTTGGTTCAGTTCTTTTTGTTATACATGCACCTTCCACTTTGCGCGCCGAAAAGTATACTTTAGCGCTGGTAGTTCTGTCCGCAGCCCTACATTCTGCATTGTCATACAAAAATTAAAAAATCTGCTCAAATTTCCAAAAATTTAAATACTATCCAAATATATATATATATATATGTATATCTCGAAGACTAAAAAATCATCCCAAATACTATATAAAACAATTAAGCTCCTCTAAATATGCAACAATTGTCATAAGCTTTATAAATAAAAACGAACGGCTTGAAGAAAAATTTTATTCAAACACACCTGTTGACTTACATATCCCAACTTATTATAAATAAGGCTCCACTCATTACCTACAATCGAGTCAAGCGCTATTAAGATGTAATAATAAAGCTTGACAGCGCCATCTTTGCTTTCAATCATTTAACTTTTTGTATATCTAGTCTATGCCACACAAACGCCGAATTACTTTGCTTTGAAACTGCTACCGAAAATTCGAATGGAGAAACTATTTTAGAATAGCTGTATTTACAATGGAAAGTAACACTAACAAAAACAATGCGCCAAATAACAAAATTC